GAAGAGGAAGAGGAAGAGGAAGAGGAAGAGGAAGAGGAAGAGGAAGAGGAAGAGGAAGAGGAAGAGGAAGAGGAAGAAGAAGAAGAAGAAGAAGAAGAAGAAGAAGAAGAAGAAGAAGAAGAAGAAGATTCGTTTGGCTAAGCCAAATAAAAGGTGATACTCTCTGCCTATATGTAACAGGCGTGAAAATGTATATGTTTTTAACCTAATCGAATCGAAAGTTAAAGTTAAGATTTTCATCCTAAAAAATGTATCCCTTACTTCAGTGGTTTGATGCAAAGTGTCAAATGAATTTAACAGAAGTAATTTATTCCAAATTGTACTACAAGTATATTGAGATAGAGTTCAATTTTGTCAAATGTTACGATATTTTTGCACACCTTGACTGCTTCGTTACTTATGGCACTGTGGCTGCTACGATATTTATGGACACCTTGCATGTACTCATATATTTGACGCTGTGTATGTACCGATGTATTTGAGCAGGGTGAATGTATCTATTAATTTGAGGACTTTTGTTGTACCGATATAATTAATTACTTTTGGTGTACATATATATTTGCATATCTTGTCTGTTACGATCTATATGACGCTGACTGTAGTCACATTGACATAGAAAATTGCAAGAAATGTCATGACACAACAGTTTCAGTACGAAAAGAACCTCGTTAAACATATTTTGTTAGCATCAGAATGGCGCTAATGAAGTATCAAAATATAGTTTGACTTAGGTCCACAAGATACCCTTGGGATCTACATAAATCTATATGTGTACATTTACTTTTGACACTACTTACAGACATAAATACTTACAGTCGGCGATGGTATGTTTATATTCGACGTTGAGGAATATTGTGAGGGTGGACTGCAGTGTGACTGGTAACCTGACGTCATCCACGTGTGGTCCAGTGGGGACATGTTCTGCAAGCAGACAAAACAAACATTATCAACAAGGGAAATTAAACCTTAAACACAAAGCCATAAAATACAAAATAAATAAAGGAAAAAATTACCAAGCTATGCTAGTGAAGTATCATTTTTGTTAGATTTTAAGTTTCATTTGGAAAATAGAATAGATATAACTTAATATAATTATTCTATAGTTAAATTTTCCAAACGAAAACATAAAATGAATTGACCAAGCAAGAACATGCAGTTAAACACAGAGTTTGGCCGTTTGTACACAAAATGTTTATTATATGCTGCAAAGAAATAAGTAATAAAAATCTCACAAAATAGATTTTCTGAAACTAAACATCCTTGCTATAAACTAATAACTCATTCACTTATCAAAACACATTAAAAATACAACACAAACTGTAAACATGAGCACCACATGGTGTCCAGAAAATGAACATCTTCCAAATAATCATTTTTTAACATACATTTTATCAACTCTAGTATTGACGTTTGCAATTTAATAACTTAAAACAAAATTGACAATAATCTGGAACAAGTCATTGCTATTTGACCGTAATTTTATTACTTTACATATACAATAAATCTTAAAATTTATTTAAACATCAGCTATCAAATAATAAATACATTACTTAATATCAACATCTATTTTGTGAGAAAATAAATCTTATGTTAATCAAGAAAGCATAAAGCGCGAAGAAAAAGTTCATGCCAAAAGTAATATTAAAACTTGTATATGTACCTAAAAAATCAAATAAAACCACTACATACAATTATACTAGTAATATTATATAATAAGTATATTTATAAATGTTACCTATATTACCATTTCGACCCATTTTATGAAAATAGTTATGTGACCTTTTTCGTCGGAACAATTTATCTATGATAAACGCTTTACCTATATTTTTAACTTATTTTATAACCATATCCATGAACAATTGAAGAACCACTTACAAAATACCATATTCAATACATATTTTTTTACTAATTTGTTTGATTTGGCAACACGTCCGGGTGTTCACTGTACTTTTCACCTCTTATACATAGACATCTTTTTGTTTTTTATATGACCACACATTTATAACTTTAAGTCCTAGAAGTTAACTAATTCATTCCTTAACAAATAACTACCATCTTCGGCAAAGACTTCTTGCTTTTTGTTTATTAATTTGTGTTATTTATGATAGCCTCCTTTTCCACTGGGTCGTCTATATGAAATCGCTTATAGCGACCATCCACACATCTTTGTGCCGTTTTATTTTTAAGCAATTAAGAGTTATAACGACAAAAACATAATATGTATTATTAGAAATAAACAGCAAGAAGATGACATTTAACAGTGAATATTATAAAAGACGTAGCAGAATGATAAATCTATACTCAACTATTGTAAATAATTGCAGGAAATGATAGTTTAAAATATTTGTATAATTATCTTTAACTCATATAAAAGGAAATTTATTTGCGATTTGCCATTATTATTAATAAATACATGCATTTCATACATATATAATGATTTGGAAACCGATCAGAATGAGTAACAAGCTTTTAGTTTGAAGAGGATTTTTGAAGTTATCGTCCATAGATGGGTGACAAAGCATATATTGGGATAAAATATTTGAAAAAAATGCATGCAAATTTAGGGGTAAAATTAAAAATGATATAGAAAAAGCTTTTATAAAGCTTGAGTATATTGGCATTGGATATATTTATTAGCAAGATTGTAACCGTTTCGAGTTTGAACGGTTCGGCAAGTAAATAGCATTTGTAAGCGAACCACTTGCGTAAATGTATGGTCTCGGAAATGTATTAAAAAGGAGGTTATAAAAGAAAACGAACCTTATTATGATGAAGGTAATTATTTGTGTTTGGTACAGATAAGTGATTCTGAAATAAACAAAACATAAAAAATGATTCGTGTTGAAAGCAAATAAACACAAAGGAAAATAACAAAAACATTTAACATATCGACTATTAGACTGCTATCACGACACAGTATGTAGCCAAACATTGCACAAACAATTTGCTGCTTTACACAAATTTATATTTGACAAATTATATCAACGCCATTTTCTATTTGTTCTTATAAACTACATATTGAAAATTGTCACTAACTGGCAATCTTACCCTTAATAAAGATGTACTCAACAATTTATTAGAAAATCGATTCAGTCACGAAACTCGATTCAATCATACATTTTATTCATAGACTTATATCTATAGACAGAGCGATTCATACAAGTTTGACATTTCAAAAGTTCAAAACCATTTTCAAAATGTCAAAAGTGTATGTGACGCAAAAGTATGCCAGTACTATGAAAAAATCCCAAATTCGGGAAAATGTAGTGTATAAAATTAACCGTAAAATAAACTAGAACATCTTGAAATTGAATTTAATTGACAATTATTTATCTAAAAAAGAAAACCAATTTTAACAAAGATAATTTTGTTTTATTGTTTAATAAAATTAATAATTAGTGTTATAAAAATGTCTCGATAAAAGATATTAATAAACTGTACTATAAACTGAGAAATAAAATATAAACATAAGAAAAGGGGTTGTATTCAATATACTTTTTTAAGGAAATTTTGTAATGTAAATGACAACACTGGTCAAATTTAGCCCAAAAAGACCTCCGGAGGCCTTTTAACACAACACACTTTTGCAACACAAATACTCCATCTATATTTATAAGTGTATGATTTTATTAAGTAGAATGATCGTTAAATCTATTTATGAATGTGTATAGACTCACCGTTGCCGCTGGATCTCTGTAGTGCGTGTAGTCTCTGTGCCTGTGCGCACTGACCTGTGCGTCGTAGTGGTCGTGCGTGCGCAGGGCCGGCGTCGGTGTGGGCACGGTGGCGCCCACCGGCGACCCCGACGCCGGCGACAGACCGCCCGTCGCCGGGGACACGCTGCCGCCGCCCGGGGAACTGGGACTCTGCGGATATGTTATCACACGCTATATCATTATTTCAATACCTAGACTAAGAATATCCAGGTCTTTTACCCAAATAATGTTAGGGGGAAATAACATTTGTCGTTAAAACTCGTAAATTGTTAAATAATTATCACCAATTTAGGTGTAATGTCACTCTTCAGTGTGAGAGACACTCGCACTGCAATTGAATCGGAAAGTTGTCATAGTAGTTGTTTTGTGAATGCTAACTGGGTAGGGAATCTGTTTGCGTACATATCTAGGGTGGTAGTCCGGCAAGGTCCGGTGCGGCAGGTAGTGCGCTGCGTGCACTGCGTGTGGCGGGTAGTGCAGCGCGGTGAGGTCGGGCAGCGAGCCGCCCGGCACCTGCAGCTCCCCACACGCCAGCCCGCCGCTCCCCACGCCTCCCCCACCACCGCCACCGCCCCCGCCACCGCCGCCGTCCCCACCACTCTCGTACACACTATCATACCACATACAAACATATATACTATATTCCGAAATGGTATAAATGTTTTCAAATATGTTGGCGGCTCTTAAGTTCCCGCTAGTCGTTGCAGAGTAGCGGGGTGTGGAGGGATTGCACTGCGCATCGCGGCAATGACCTTGAGCCGCTAGAATATTTGAACACATTTATACCGTAACTAGAAATATGCGTAAAAATGTATAAGCAAATTTATAATGTACTTACGTAGACATACAGATGGGGAATAGGTAAATAATTGAAAATTCACACTCACTTGTTATTGTTTGGTATTCTCGGAATTTCACAAGACGAGCGGGGACGATTTGTTGGATTCATGCCTAGTGTTGCCAACACATCGAGGTGGATATCTGGTCCTGAAATGTTTCGAAAAGCAAAAGAAATCTAAAATATGTTTTGCACAAAATGTTACTAATCCTAGTCATTTTATCAATGGTTAGAACAGATTTCAACAAAAAACATCTTTGAATTGTAATCTAGACATACCTCTGCGATGGTTTTGATGCGGGTGGAGATGTGGGTGCGCGTGTGAATGAAGCGGGTGGTGGGGGGAGAGTGGTGGTGCGGGCTGCTGCGTCTCGCCGCACGACTGGTGCAGCGCAGAGTCTGAATTCGTACGCCGCCAACTGCTATCCGGCGGCGGGCTGTAATGTTATATGGGGATACAGTCAAAGAATTAAATTCGCTTCCCACTTACGAATAAACAAAAAACTATCACCATAAGAGTTATATAGCGTGCATCAAATGATATTTCAATTATTTTCTTTAATTTACTTTGTCTTAGCTAAATAAAAACATTTAAAATCTAATCACAATGAGATGAAGATTTTTGTTTATTTCCTACTCAATATATTTCATTTCTAAATTGAAAGAATGGAAAAATATGGAAGCATTTCAATGATTACTAACCACCTCTTGCTATAATTAAAAAACATATAGAAGGAAATCAATCTTTAATTCACAATACTGTAGCCAACAAAAGCCGACCCAAAGCTAATGCAAAATATTTCCTGTTAATATAGTCATGATGCACAAACAATAAATTTATAAATTATGAATGAGATTTCCTAGAATGAATCAACAATGTAACCTTAACTAATTCAATGTGTCACACTTACCTCAAATAGACTGTGCTTCCATAAGGGCTAGTATCATGTTTTCGATCGGCCGGTCTTCTCATGGGACCAACTGAAGATGAGGCCCTGCCTCTTTGTACAGGTGTCCGTGATGGAGATGTGCCCCCACTTCGCCCACCACTCATCCCATATTGAGCTGGTATTGGAGTTTCCTCTGGCTGTAAAGAAATTTGATAAACATATGTCATAATGATAGAATACACATATAGCACAAGGCATTATCAGAAAAAAATATTTTAATAATACTTCCTATAAAATACAAATGGAATATCCAATAAGATTCCAATGATTAACTACAGATAATATGTTTTTGAGTACTGAAAGACCTATGGTGCTAATATTTAATTCAATTATTTTAAAATTTAATGAAGTAGATTGAATCTACAGCACTTCCAGGAACCATCTTAGTATTTTGTTATATGTTAGTCATTTACTTGGTAACATATTCTTGTTTTTCAGATAACTAATTTAATTAATAAGTATAAGTGCTGAAAGCATTTATAATATTATATTAAATATTCTGTATTTTCATTTTTTAATAAACTTTTCATTGCATATTTTAGAAATTTGAAAGAATATTATCATGCAGCTAATTAAATAAATGCAACACATAGTTGCTATATTGTAAAAAATTATTATAATCTAAACATATGTAAAGGAAATTCTGTCAAACAATGGGAACTATTAAAATAAAGATCATCATGCTTTTTTGAAAGTAACAACAATAAAGTGCTAAGTAACATAACAGTATAAATAATAGTTTTTATAACTAGCACAATAATAAATATTAACTGTCAGTTTCTGAGACCAAAATCTCCATTTAAAACATAGTGTTATGTTGTCTATTGTAAAATATATAACAGAATTGGTATTAGAAACCCACAGTAAGTGATGTGTAAGATACAGTAAAGACTAAAATTAATTTGTTTATAGAATGAACACATGAGTATACTGGCCAGCACAGAAAAAAAACTTGTAGCACACATGTTACAAAGTAAATACAAATTCATTCAGCTTTCTGTTCTAATTATTCTCAAGGATAATAACAGAATAAGAGTAAGATTTTAATTCGTGTATAGAATTAGTGCAAGGTAAAAAAAAATATATAAATAAAAAGTAAATTTGATAAATCAAATTTTCTAGCGCAGATCTCTACAAATAAATATAAGAAAACTTCTACAACAAATACAGGGATTTGTAACAAGTTTCTTTATGAAACCTTTTTGGTTTCTGGTTCAGTGGTTGGTGGCTGAGGTGCGGCAACATTAGGTAGAGATCCACTTCTATATGTGCCAAGCGTCTGTTGTGTAGGCCTTAGTGTTGTGTCAACATTCTCTACAGGTTCTGGTGGTGGTACAATTCTTGCACGACGGGTACTTGAATTAACCTGCAACCACGTTGCTTCAACATCCCTGTCTCACTTTATCATGTAACATTTCTTTTATATCTTCTTACTTGATGCTATTATTTCTAATTCTTGGTTTATGTCTTTTTGTCATTTTATTGTAAAATGATATATGAAGGTACCATCTTATTATAGTACATTTATTGAAACAACAAAAGACAATACTATTTAATTAAATTTTTGTATAAATTAAAACAGTTTTTAAAACTTTATCCATACTAAAATTTAGTGACAAGATAATATTGTTATGTTTATATTAACATAGTAAACTTTCGGTTTGTAACCTTCAACGAGGAGTGAATTAGCAAATTATTGAATTAAAATAGACTGTTTTAAGCTTCTTAAAAATAACAATAGGCAATAAGTTACAATACAAACTATAGGCTACACAAGACTCATTGTGTGTGGTTTGTATTTAGTTAGAATTAAACATTAACTTATTATTAAGTCGCAATATTCAAATTGTAATGATTATTGTTTACGTCGGCTCGCACATTTGACGTCCAGGAAGTATTTGCCTGAGTAAATAGGCGACATACCTTATTGGTTGCATCGGAAACTTCACGCATAATTTTTTCAAAAGCGGCTGTTTCCTCTGCCTGCTTTTGATTGTGGAGAGCAATTTTTTCACTAAATTTTCGAGGATTCGCCATGATGATCAACAAACATTTATTATTCTGTATTTTACATCACAATTTTCTTTAATCGTAATACAAAACGCGCTTGTCTGTCAGATAGCGAGCTAATAATTGCCATTGAAAAAAATAATGAAGCTCCCTTTCAATACAGACTTAATATCTTCGGGCAGCTGAATATTTTATATACACTTTGCGCTATCCCTTAATTTCAATATGTGTTTCAAGATTATACTGGATTATACTTTTGGAGCAGATATAAAAACGAACATAAATTAAAAAATCAAAGCACTTAGCGGAGCTTTCAGTTAACTAAGGTACCCAATCGGTCAACAAAACGTTTGGATAGGGCGATAATTAATCATGTCTGAAGATTGATTTATAGAACACACTATAAGTTACCTTTAGTCTAATTACACTTAGAATTTCATGCGATTTTTATTTCAACAAGGGCGGGTGTTGCTGCTTGCAACTGACGGTAGTTTGGTAGTTGGCACTTGCCACCGCACATAGTGACAATGGCATGACATACGACATATGTCAGTGTCATACCACAAGTCACAACAGAAATTCGAAAGTCTTCATCAGGGGATTGCAATAATATTGTTTTCGCTTACTTTTGAGTAGTAACATTCCAATAATTACTTGAGACGGCGTAATGGAGGAAGTGTATATTTTATCATTGGACATTGGGACAAGTACTATCCGCTCTGTGATTTATAACTCTAGGACTGAAATTGTAGGAAATGCCTTTAATCAGGTATTCATTTATGTTCTTAAAACACTTTTTTATTGACAAACATATCTTTTATAAGAATCTTATTTCCTTTCGCTCTAACGCCATTATTTTAAAACTGAACATCTTTAAAAGAATTTATTCCAATTTCCTTCTTTTTAGGTAGTTTTGCATTACCCGAAACCTGGGTTTGTGGAAATTGATCCAGAGGAACTATGGGTATCGATTATTGAAGCCGTGAAGAAATCTTTACAAGGTAAATTATAAAATTTCAATCTTATGGTATTCAAATTAACATTTTTTTTGTTTAGGCGTAATATTTTATGTTTAGTTTTTACATGGAATTTTCTGCCAGTTCGCATACAATGGATAAGTCAGTAAATGTAGTTATAATAGCGTAGGTTTACATCTCTTTAGAGCGCTTGTAGCTCAAGAGGTGAGTTAGAAGGCCTCGGGATGCCTTTCATTTAGTTATTTGCATAAAAGTAAATAAAATAAAACCTCTTTTTTATGTATATACTTTACTAGCAGTTGCACCCGATTTTGGTAACTCGCAGGAAGGAGCTGGTATAAGGAGTTTTAATTTGCAGCAAGAAACAAGAAAAACTTTCTGTTTATCATCCTATTAAATGTCACAAATTGACTTTGTTATGTTTATGCCAATAAAATGTTGAACAAATACATAAATGAGCCAAAAATGTTATATTCTATTAAGCCTTTTTCATATCTTAAAATGCTTGTATTTGTGTTTTGCATGTAAATTGTCTAATTTTTCCTTGTTTCTAAGGCTGCATATATGTGTCTTGAATAACAAAATATTAAATTGAGTCGAAAATATCCTTTAAGTAATATCATTATAGGAAATATTTTGCTTCTAACCGTTTTTTTAATGTATGTTTTAAATTATGTATTTAATTATAACTAACTGAAGTTTAAATTCTGAGCCATTCTATTAAAATCTTTTGTAATTCTCACAATGTTAATAAATTCAAATGAAGTCTATAATTGGTCGTAGCAACATATATAATCCCATTCTTAAATCATACAATGTGATTTTATGGGAATAAGTTTTTATTAAATGTGCACTGAAATATAACTTTTATGGTTTGCAGTCTGATATTCTTAGGTTGATCTTAAATTTAATTCTTTGACTGTAAAAAGCCTAAGTAGTATTTAAATTGTAATGGTTTAATTCTATGCTTTCATGCTCATATAGTATAAGGCTGTTTTCACACTAGATGCGAGTTTATCCGCGGGTCAAATCGCAGCGATGGGCATATCGACCCAGCGCAGTACGTTCATCACGTGGTCGCGTAAGACTGGTCGACCTTTTCACAGATTCTGCACGTGGAAAGATATAAGGGCTGATAAACTAGTCAAGGAATGGAACAATTCATATACATGGAAGGTTTGTCAATAAATTACATTAACACAATTACAATTTTTTTTATTGTTAGAAAGAAAGTTTAAGGTTAGCAGCCTATTCTAAGTGAATGGTGATTAGGGCTTATTCAACTATGTTGGCCCAGTGCAGGTTGACTTAACACATATCTGAATTTCTTTGCAGATATGTGTAGGTTGCATCACAATGTTTTTCTTCATCTTAAGAGCGTCGAATGAATGTTCATATGTAACATGGGGGATTCAAACCTGGGACCTGAAGATTGCAAGTCAATTGCTTAACCCTTGATCCTCCAACGCTTTGGTTGTTGAATTTCAATTAAATGTTTCTAATTTATAATAAATAAATTTTTGTTTTAGTGCATAAAAGTTGGGGCTTATATATTGCATATGGTATCGAGAAGTAAGCGATTTAAAGCCGGAAGCGTTTTCAAATTCTCAAATAATCAGGTAATTATTAAATTAATACAGTTGAACCTACATAAACGAGAAATCTCCGGAGAGTCAATGTCCGGTCCTGACAGACAACCTCCTTAAGTGAGAAACCTCTGTAAACAAAATGAATACTGCAATCTATTGGACTCTCGCTTATCCAGGTTTGACTGTAGTTATGAAATAAATTATAAATATTTTTATTCATATACAATGGGTGTGTTTTGAGTCCAACCAACCAGTATTAATTTTGATAATTTTGTATGAAAGAGTTTATATCACATTCATTGCATGTTGTATGTTATTAATTAACTTTAGTAGGATTTTCATATTCCATGATTTATCTTTTAAATATCTTCTCGCCTTAATGAATAAGAATATTAATTTAAGAAAAAAATGCGACATGTTCAAAGCGTTCATTTGAATAATAGCCGGTCCTTGACATGTGACTTTAGCGTTCATAATATTGTATTTAATAGTTTTATGTCTCTTAAACGCCGACTAACTAACAACGCATTTTGTATCTGCGTCATTATTTTATTATGTTTGTAAGCTGAAATAAAGGTCAAATGGAAGTGACTGGTTTAATTAAATTCATAAAAAAATGCAAAAATTGCCTCGCAATTAATTAGCTTATTATTAACCGTATAAATAAAAATCTGTAAAACTGGCGGAAATTAAAAAAAAATATTAGAGTACGACAAATATCACGTACATTTTATCAAGGCTTAAGGTCGAAATCCGAAGGTGAAAATATTACTTAACAATGTGATTAGGGTTTGTTTAAATATCATAAAAATTCCTTTAGGTGCAGGTAAGGCGATTAGAACTTTATCGCACTGACCTAAAAACAAATAATACGATAACGTGTAATTAAAAACAAAACACGACCTTGGTTGGTCATTGTTCTTTGGTTAACTTTTATTCTAGCCATGTGTAAATCAGCTTTGAACCGATTTAAAAGTTCAGCTCACAATTCCAATCGGTGAGCTGCAGTTCAATAACTAAATTGGCAGCTCAAAGCTCATCACGATGTACTATAACTATATGAGCCGCGAGCTGATTTATGACTCGCAGTTCGAAACACAAATCATAACTCTTTGCAGGTACAAATTGTGCTGAGACGCGAGTTGGTTCACTGATCTGTTTGACATGTGAACCGTGAGCTGATCTACAGATCTTAAATTTAAGTTGATTTACCGTTGATTATTACATTTCCAAAGGCCTTTACACGGTGTATGCTATAGCTATCCTCCTTTTTGAGTCGTCTTCCTGTACAGTCGAGGGTCGTGACCACCTCCGTCCATCTTCCTTTTAATAAATCCCCATTCCTGACGGTCTACGACTATTAATATACTATTTATGTTTTCTGTGGCTATAGTTAATAGATCTTTAAGCGACTCCAAAATTTCTAATTACCTTTATTACGTACTTTTAAAGGCGCCAGACTGATTAGCAGCTTTTAGTACACCCTGACAGTTTCTTACTTTGATTGTCTTTTAAAATGTATAATTTCAGACTACATTAAGATTGTTCTGGGCGCTGAATAATGTGCAATCACTTAAGACTGCGGTGGAGAGCGGAGATGCGATGTTCGGTACACTGGATACATGGCTATTGTACAAGTTAACAGGTATGTCACAACATTAGTATGTTATTACGACTTTATAGATATACTAGATGTCGCCTGCGACTCAGTCCGCGACGGCTAAAAAGAAAACTTAGCGTATGTGTTTTTCCAGGCTATGTTCTACATCTATGTAAAATTTCAGCGAGGCCCATGGAGCCGTTCTGAAGATACTTACAAACAAACATCCATCTAAACATTCGCATTTAGATATATAATATTAGTGAGATGGATAGAATATAAAAAGAGATGTGTCAAAAGGAAATAATTTCTGCTTATCTTTTTGGTCCCGTGATGCTTTGTATAATTATATGTAGCCTCATTGCTCGTTAAATATAATGAGATGGATGTATATATAATACGGTATGCAGTGTAATTATTATTCATAAACAGGTCTTGGAAGTTTAATATTCAAATAGGCAATTTAAAATCATGAATACATTTGAATAATTGTATACGTGTCACGCAATAGTTGTTTTTTTCTTTTGTCATATTCCTTGACCTGTGTTTTGTCATCTAATTAATGTTTTTTGTTTTATTTTAAGGCTGAAAAAATGATAATTGGTTTGAGAATAAATTATCATTTGTGAGTTATGCCCTCTGGGTGGGATATCCTTATATCTTACTAGCTGTCGCCCTTGACTATCCGCGCGAGATTAAAAAAAAACTTAATAAGTAATCTATGTGTTCTTCCAAACTATGTTATACATTTGTGCCAAAATCCTCTAAGCTGTTCTGGAGACACCTTCTAACAATCATAAATCTATCTACCGAAACATTCGCATTTATAATATTAGTAAATTTCTAACAAGACTTCTAAATTAACAGAGGGTGTCGAATTAAAATAAAATAAAATCTAAATAAAATCTTATCCAAAATAATTTTATTAATAATAATTATTGTCGTAAAATTTGTCTATGATATATTTAGATAAAAAGTTTATGTTACCAGGTAACAAGTTGCACATGTCAGACGTGTCTTCGGCGTCTGCAACTGGTTTCTTTGACCCATTCACAATGCAGTGGGCGGGGTGGGCAATGTCGATATTCGGTATACCAATGTCTGCTCTACCGGAAGTCGTGGATACAGCGGGTGATCATTTTACAAGTACCGACCCGGAGATCTTTGGATGTGCTATACCGATTAGATGTTGCGTGAGTGTTCTTGATACTTTCGCAATAAATATTTATAAGAATTAAAATGCATTGAAGGTGGTCCCGTTTTCCAAGACATTTGTAAAATATCAATATTATTTAATCCTAGTATTAGTTGCACTTTCCACATATCTGGTTCTTTACCTATACAATTATAAAATTTGAGTGTCTGTATGTTATATAGAAAAATAAGTAAAATTTTTATCTAAGTGTATAGTTACTTTATTCATTTATATAAATTGTTTAACTTTATAATTACATCTTGTATTTCTATCTTTATTCATGTACTAGTTGTCGCCCGCGACTCCGTCTGATCGGAATTAAAAAAACCTTCATAAGAACCTCCAGACTATGCCATACATCAGTGCCATATTTCAACGAGATCCATGCAGTCGTTTTGATACCTTTTAAGAATTATCTATCCATCCAAACATTCGTATTTATAATATTAGTAAGATTTTAATATTAAAGCATTTATTTTGATTTCCAGATAGCTGATCAAACGGCATCAATGTGGGGTTCTTGCTGTTTCGACGTGGGCGAGGTGAAGTTGACGATGGGCACGGGGACGTTTTTCAACATAAACACGGGTCGCACGCCGCACGCCAGCGTGTCGGGCCTGTACCCGGTGGTGGGCTGGCGGCTGGGCAACGAGCTCGTCTTCTCTGCGGAAGGAGCCAATAACGATACAGCCACTGTAATTAAATGGGCTCAGAGCATAAGTTAGTAATTCATTATTTTTGTTCCCCCTGTTATTTTTTAAAAACAATTTAATTAGTGGCCTATGTGTTCTTATAGACTATGTTCTACATCAATGACATATTTCAGTGGTATCCATGCATTTATTCTGGAGATACTTTCTTACAAACATTCATCTATTTCAACTTTCGCATTTATATAAGTAAGTAATCTACGGACATATTATTTTAAATTTATTTTTTTAATATATTTTTTCAGATCTGTTCGAAAACCCTTCAGATACAGCTGACATAGCAATGTCGGTGTCGGACACAGATGGTGTATACTTTATACCGGCTTTTAGCGGATTAGGGGTAAGTTCTACAATTTTTTTGTTTGAACTTTATACCATTCATATAAGGTTTAATTTAAATCTTCAGGACTTTTTACTGTTGTTTTGTATGTATTCAGCCCGTGTGTGTTTTTATGATATGTTTTCAATCTGATAGCATTATAAACTTGAAGAGATGTAACCGACTTCGATTCATGTACAGGCTATGAGACATAGTATTTTGTTCCTATTTGATTTCCGCCATTTTAGCGCTGCTTGTAGCGGTGGTGTGGAATTAAACTAATAATTAGATACAATTAACTTATATAATCTAATTATAAAGATCAATGGATTTAACTCTTTCGTCAAAATGGGTGTAAATATATAAGCAATGTATGAGAATTAAGTTTGTATGTGGTCAGCCGCCATACAACGACTGCACCGCGGGTACTGGCTTCGTTGGCATCAAGCCGTCAACCAATAAAGCGCATCTCGTGCGTGCTGTACTGGAAGCGATCGCCTTCCGCACTGTCCAGCTATTCCAGTGTATACGTTCTGAGACTTCATACGCTTTCCACAGTATAAGGTAAAATGATCGATTGCTTATTTGGTTTTTATATTATAGGTATTATCATCGGAAGCCATACGAGAATTTCATACAGACATTTGATATTCATTTTAATTCATCATCATCAGCTCACTATACGTCCCCACCGAGGGGTTCGGAGCCTACCCTAAGTTGGAGGTGACGAGGCCATAGTCAACCACGCTGGCCAAGTCCGGGTTGGTTGACTTCACACATATCGATGTTTTCCTTCGTTTTAATTGTACTCAGTTAATTATATTTGATTTGTTAAAACTTTATTGGACATAAACCAATTTGATACGCGAAACAAAAAAGTAAAAGCCTTTTATTGAATTTGAAGAGTGCATATAAGAAAAAGAAATGCTAGATGTATACTAAAAGATTAGAGAAAGAGTAAGTCTTAGTTAACATCTTAGAAATCGTGTTGGCATATTATGTTAATATCAAAGTGATATTTAGGGTGGACGGCGGCGTGTCGAACAATGAGTTCATCGCGCAGCTGGTGTCGGACCTGACCGGCCTGAGGGTGGAGAGACCGGAGCAGGTGGAGATGTCCTCGCTCGGCTGCGCGCACATCGTCGGATTGCATTTAGGTATGAACAAATATATGTCTCAACTAGCTATTACGTGTGACTCCGTCCGCACAGAGTTAAAAAAATACTTAATTAGTAGCCTATGTGTTTTTTTAGGTTATGTTCTAAATCTATGCCAAATTTCAGCGTCAAAAGAAACATCCATCCATCCATCCATCCATTTTAACATTCGCATTTATAATATTAGTAAGATGTGACTCAACCAATAAACCCTTTTATATACAAACTGCATATTTATCGTAAAAAATCTCAAATTTCATACTTTTAGTAATATTTGTCTCACATAACTATATGACACGCGACAATTATTAGGTGTTAATTTGAAATGTAATATAGTCGAACGTGGATAAGCGAGAAACCTTTGGAATCGAGAGTCATTATTTGTGTTAGAGAGAAACCTGTTTAAGAGAGAAAAATATCGAATTCTCTAAGACTCGTTTCGACATCATCCAGGTTCGACAGTAATACTATAAAATTATGTAATAGGAGTCTGGATCACTTATTTAGTGAGCTTTATTAAATTTTAGGTATATTCAAATCAAAAGACGAGATAATATCTTTACGAAAGATCGGTAAGATTTTTACACCGCGGGCGTATGTTAAGAAGAATTACGAATATACATTCTCTCGTTGGGAGGATGCTGTGAAAAGAATGTGTGGCTGGTACACCGAGCCTAGAGCCACACAAGCCGTCTCCGATACGAACGTTGTAGCGCGGAAAGATAACAAAATGCCGGCCACACAAAATGGCGGACACGCTAAATAGCGCCGGCTTATGTTTCTGCTAGCAATGATATTTTGCTTGCCTTTGATCAGATGACATTGGCTTGGATATAATTGGTCAATTAGCCGACATTTTTTTAATTGGGTAAGTTGAAGCGTTTATGGTGACGGTCAGAGACAATTTGGTAAATCGACATGGTGGTAGTGTTTTAAGTATTTTTTTGTACCTGGTTTTAGCTCTCTTTTTACGGAAGACTAATTTGAAAGAGATTTTTTTTAATAGAAAATGTAGTAAATTTAAAGTGCATAGGATTAAACATTAAGGTGGCTACACACTATGGGTTCACATTTTGAACTTGCCTTTATGCCAATGTGCAGTTCTTGAAATTGTGTGTTACATCCTTTATTGATTTTTTAAATGAATTCGTGGTTTTCATAGAAGTAAGAAAATCATGCCTTGAGTAAATTTACTCCTGTTTTGTAATAGATAATCGTCTTTAATTGTTTTTTATTAAATCCTGTTTGCTTAATATAAGGTAGACAGAAATGGTATGGATTTGCAATTTTAAGTATTGCTAGGGTTAGGAAATGTCAATTTATTTATTTGTAAGTTTAGTGAAATATTATAAAATAAGTAGATAAATAACAATTGTAATGAGATTTTTGTAAAATAGTTTCAATGCTACGCAATTGCTTAATCAAAGAATTGTAAATATGCTATATATGCATGAAGACATTTTTTTTAAATTTATTTTTCATGTTTTTTACACGGTTACATATTATTATTTATTTATATTAAACATATTATACAGTAAATAAAAAATTGTTACGATTCAAATCGTATTTATCAGACTTTTTTTTACATTACTGGCCAACTATTATTATAATAGTTATAAACTATGCTAGCCATGGAATTTTTATGTACATTATGTACTAAATACTAAATTTTTTTTTCTTATATATCCATTATTCTTGCCAATTTCATTTATTCCCGTAGTAAATAAAATGTAAGACTGTGTGACTACGTAGGAAAATGAATTTGTGATATTAACTTAGAATTTAGAGTTTACCTTGTCCGGTAGAACATTCCTAAACTTGTATTTTTTATTTCTAGATAAGAATTAAATTTTAAAATCACTTAGGACGATAAAGTCCGGCAGCAACTATTTTAAAAGTAAAGATGGAATGTAACATGAATATAATCTGTATTAGAAGTAAATGTTAACCCGCATTGTTCCACTTCTCGCAAATATGGCGCCCCGCCTCGTGATAGTCGGATCATCCAACCAACGTCTTAACGTCGTGTTATGTTCGCACAACAGATTTTATCTTTATTTGAAGTTAAACGATGTTTTTTTTTTACCTTTTTAATCGAGTTAGTTTTGGTCTCGGTTGTGGTTTAAGTTAATCTTTTTACATTTGTGCAATTTTATAGAAATGCTTTAACTTTTATTTATATTAGTTCAAATATTTTTATCGGATTAAATGTTAAACTAAAAAACATATACAAAGTTTCAATTCTTTGTTATAAAAAAAGAAATATATCTTTAAAATTTATTTGAGTTAAAAAAGACATATCAAGTTTGTTAAAATATATTATTTTGAAGGATTAAATTGTGATTAAGTTTTAAATATATGTATGTTATTGTTAATAACATAATTGTTATAATAGTTTCTCTAGAGAAACTGAGTTCTATGAAAATATGTATGTACAGTCAGCTACAAAAAGATGTATTACATTAATAAACTTTAGAAAGAAAACCTTTGGTTTAAAACGTGTATGCACACGGCAATAGATAGTATTCATAGTCAGAGATTCTTGCATGCATATTTTTTAAAACCGATTGCGTGTACACGTTTCTGAATCTTTTGTGAATTTATACATATTTATGCAGCTGACTGTACAACTTCGGCAGTCAAATTTAATATGTTGTAACTACTTTTTCCCATTTGTCTTCTTAAAGCGAAAGAAATAACGTCGTTTATTAAAACTAGTAAAATTGTAACCAGTAAAAATAAAAGCCTATTAAATTATTAAATGAATTTTACACGACATCGTTTTTTATTTTATTAAATAATAAGCAAGTATTCTATATTTTTACGTTAAGAGTACTTTGCTTGCATCCAATGTAACTTGATACTTTGCCTTTTTTTGACATGTTTTTCCAATGCTGGCAACGCGTCCGTAACTTATGTATATCAAAAATTATTAAGGTAAGGTAATAAGTTAAAATATTATTTAAGGTGATCATCATTTTCTTTTTAAATATATTTTATGTGTTTCGCCTGAAAGAATAAAACTTAACTACATAATACAAGCTGTTTTTCGTTTGTTTTACTGCGTTCGACTGTTTAAACATATTGTTATCTCTATTTTGTCAAAGAGAATGTAAGAGACGACAATAGGTCAACAATCGAAACGCACATAAGATATGTGTTCTAGAACAACATACGAGATGACGATGAATTCATAACAATGATTTAACTTATTAAATTAAATAGCAAAATCAAATATTGCACAAATATAAATACGCTGTTTCTTCCTTTAATATAACAGTACGAATTAAGAATGGGACATATGCATTTTATGTTTCTTGTAATCTTAATTCATTTGGCTGGAGGAAGGTTTTTAGACGGATTGTTTCTTAGACCAGAATTACTTAAAACAGGAATCGAAGTGAGAAATACAAATGACTATATGGATTATGATCCTGATAAAGTAAAAAAAAATGTTATTACCGTCAATTTACTTTTTGTTACAAATGGCGTTGACACAATAATTGAAATAGAAAACAATGACGGAATGTAAGGACATGTAAACATTCAAACAGATTCAGTAAATCTTAGATACTATTTGAATGTTAATAAAATAATTATTTACTAACGTGGATTTTTTTATATATTTTTATTTAAATAAAGAATAAGAAAAAAAAATTCTTCCCCGATACCTATTCCTCCTCCCATTCTTTACTATAGCAGGACAAGAAAGATCTTAACAGCGATTTTTTCATCGTTGCCAGTTAGCATTAAGATTTAAATAAAAAACATATAGTTTAAAAAAGTTTTTTGGTGTATATAAACGATAAATTGATATAAACACGTTGTTTAAATGTAGCCAACTTTTATATAATTAAAAGATTTCATTGTAAAATTACAATAGTAAAGATAATAATAACAGTAACTCTGCAACAGTGGTAGAGCCAGAGAGTAAGGAAAGGATGGGAAGTGGAAGTGGACTTTCCGGATGAGAGGATGCATGGAAAGGGAATATATTTTATTTCTCTGCATCCTCTCTTCCATCTATTAAAGGTAGGCAACGCATATGCAATTGCGTATGTCTATGGGCAACGGTCACTTCGCAATTTAGCGATTTCAGGTAACTGCTCGCTCGTTTGCCACCTTATTATATAAAAATATATATATGTAACGAAGCTGTATAATAATATTGTAATAATATCTTAGGTAAGAACTTAAAAATATCTTTTCATCACATTCCTTTGGTATAATTGTAAATATTAAACATTAATAAAATAAAAATATTTACAAGTACAGTAAACATTTTCAAAAATATTCTAAAGTTAATGTTAACTATTCAAAATTAGTTAACGTCAATATTATTTACCAACCCAAGATGGTAGTACCCGTATTCTTCCTACAAGATCGGACTCTTCGTTTTTCCCACCTTCGAAATCTGACAAAAGTCCATTACCAGGGTTGAAGGGAAGCGATCTCTTTGCAACTTTATGTGTAGTTTCTTCTGTTGTTGGTTCCTTTTGTTCTGTGGCTGTAATCAGGTCAACTACATCTGGTAGGAATTCTATAACTTCAATATATTCCACTAAAGGTACAGCAACATCAGTCGTAGTTTCTTCCGTAGGTTCAGTTGTAGGCGCAGCGTTAATTATCACCAATGTTGCCATAATTAATAAAACAATTTGCGACGCCATCTTGATTTCTGGTTTCAAAAAACTTGTCAAAATGTACGTTTGTCTTGTATAGTAACAATTCTTTTAATGATCTAAACGACGCACTCGTAGTTTTTATATCTCTCGTTCAAGTAAATATAATTATGCTAACCAATATGTCCAGAATCGGATGCATTGACGCATAACCGTACGCAGTATGTCGCTAATGGCACTAACAAATATTTTCAATGCCATTATGTCCGTGAATAACTTTTGTTATGGATTACATTGAAAATTATGACTAAAGGTTGATTTGAAACATGATACAGTACTTAGAAAACTATGAATCATGCGTACGTTGTAATTGAAACTATGATTATCATATATCTAAGTAAGTATAATACCACAGAGGAAAGATGTGATCAGAATATTGCGTTCCATTACTTTACACAAGTTAAAAAAAGATGCTGTATGTTACAGTCGTGAAGAGAGTGTAGAATGTCGACTAGATTATCTTTAATCATAAACTTTTCTAATTAAGATAACTTCGGACAAAATATTTGGATCTTCGTTGTGCGTTTTCTTAAAATATTTGTTGAAAACAATATCGGTCGCTAGATAAAATCAATTGATTCAGGCTACTATCATGTTGACCTAAAAGTTCAGAGAACTAATTCTGTATTCCTGATCGTGACAATTTATTTACATTCAATTACATTTATGAGCTACTTTGATCAAGTGTCCTCTCAGTCCGCCATTGATATGCGTCACAGATCTATTTTTGGAGAATTTTTTCATGTCATTATTGTTATTTTAGCAATTTTTCGGAAAGAAGTATTGTGTGCTATATCGAAAACCATGTTATTTGTCCTATATTGAACTGTTTGTTCGACTATGACAGAAATATTGTCTTAGATGTCGATCGAACTGAATATTTCTGACCATAAGTGAAAAATAATAATATCATTTTAAATGTAGATTGCATTTTGTTCCCATTCCATTGTATTATTAGACGTTTAGACGCACGAGTGCCTTATTCGAAGGTCTTAGACTCGATGTTCTTCCCGTGCATTTAAAATATATGATTTGAATCCTCGTTCATTGTCTATACAGCAAAAGAGTGGAATAAGTTGTTGGCGCATTCTGACCCTGATGTGCAGTATGATGAGGAGGCCAAGAGATTCAAGAGTAGAGTAGGTAGTATAGGGTATGGGGTAATAAACTAGCGCGCATCATATTTCCCCCACATTACGACATATCAGGTGGAATCGTCGTCAAGCGTTAGTTTCTTCAATATAAATTTAAAAAAGTTTCCTTTTTGTTACGACGCTATTATAGACCGTTCACATAAACAACACAAAATATAGACATCAAGTCTCATGACATGTTATTTTTAAGTCCTCACAATCATATTTATTGGAAGCGTTCTATTAGCGTCCAATTAGAGTGCGGCAAGGTTCGTGTTTATTCGATTATTTGTGTGAACAGTATGTACTCTTATAATTTAATTTCATCCGTCTGCGTCAATCCTGCTTCATATAAGATTGTTTATGTATACAGTTTGTGTACACAGAAATGATTAGTTTTAATTGCTACTGCACTCAATACTGCCTTTATAAGGCAAAGGATTCTCTCCGAGGACAACAGTTACGGTTATACAGTACTAATACAAAATAGGATCGTTCGGAAATGCGTTCAATGTACTTCGTCGTCGCATCGCTAGCGCTGCTGGCCGTATGCGCATGCGCACCGGTGGAAGCGGACGTGATCCAGCACATACCACTAAACGAAACACCGTCAGCTACAGGAAGAGATGCTGCGAAATCTGGTGCTGCGGAAAAAGATTCAGCTGCTTCTGAACCTAAGGCTCCAGTGTCAAGAGTTCGTCGGGAACTAGGCGGACAAGAGAGCGACTTGTTACCGTCCCATGACGATGTCGACGGGTCACCATTCGGTGATAACTTCCAACTGGCAGGCCATGGCCGCATCAAAGTTTTACCAGCTTACCTCGGTTAATTTTCCTTTTTCTTTGATTATATTCGGCTAAGATTCGGTTTGTGATATCAACTGATTTTAGTTATGAAATCATGTTTCTCACCGGCCAGTATTTTTGATTGACCTCGCTACGGATAATGGATATTGTTTAGTAATTTATATCGTTCTAAAGACATTGTTTAAGCCCTATGAATGTAGAAGCGATAGAAGGAATATGGATTAGTTTTAATTATGTTACATTTTGTTATTTTAGTTTAATAGTTAATAAAAACTTAGTATAAAACGATCTGAATTGTTTGATTTGATTACTTGAAGTCCTTTGTCATAATTGCATTTAATACAATTGGTAATCATCATATCATCCTGGTCTCCAAGAAACTTATGATGATGATGATACCCTAGAATATATAGATATATTAGAATTATGTAAACACTTTGTATTTCTTTATTATATGTTCCAGTGTGTTCGTTTGTATACTTTTCTATACTATGATAATTGTTAAAGGTATAGTTACGTACTAGGTATAGTGATTTTCAGATATGTTGTCGGCTCTTAACTTTGCGCAAGTCGCTGCTGAGAACTCAAGTTTAGATGTACGCCCCACGTAGCGATATACGGGGGAAAGGCATTGCTCAGCGCGCCAATGGCCTGGGGCAGTTAAGATATTTGAAAAGATTTATATCTACTCATAGTAGGTTCCTTGACCGCGTATTATGCACAGCCCTGAAGCCCTTTAGCTGTCTGTTGCGAGTTGTAACATCTGACAACAAGGTACAAGATAGAACAAGGATAACGATATACATTATTTAATACGTTAATGATAAAGTTTTAAACATAAATAACAAATACTACGTTAACAACGATTTCACACGAACAAACAAATGGTAGAAAGGATGATAGTACAACAGAAGATTTTTACATTTTTTAAACTGAACTCATAGAACTTGAAGCATTGCAAAAGGAAGCAATTAAAAACAATGCAATCTAAAATGATTAACCTCACCGGGAGAATATCTTTTAGTGTATACTTAGTTGACTATTACGATGTTACCCTCAATATAGTGTTAATTCTTTTAATTCTCCATGTTAATTACAGCGTGTTAGCTTATGTTATACGTAAACTGTTAATAGACTTGTCCTTTATACATAATGAATTTAAATCAATCTCCCTGCACAATCAGTAGCCGTCTACTATGAAGACAATTATCCTGTATATTGTAATCATTCAAATAGCAAATTCACTGGAAAACTTAAACAATAAAACAATCCAACAAGAAAGCATAAACGACAATGTAAGAGTTAATGAAAGTTTAAATCATTTTAAACAATCTACAAAATTAGAGAAATATGTTGATGAATCTAAGAACTATTCAGAAATGGACACTGCTGCAAGTAACTTTGTTTATCGACCGCTTTTTGTTTATAGAAGAATAGAACATAGCAAACGTCGTATAACAATGTATAATGCTTTTGCTGGTTAAATATTTTTATCACTTAGGTAAGTTATCTTGCATTTATTTATCATTAGCTCACTGTACGTGTCAACTGAGGGAATCAGAGCCTACCCCCAGTTAGGGGTGACTAGACTACTCTCTGAATTTCTTCGCAGATATGTGCAGGATGCACCACGATGTATTCCTTCGCTGTAATAACGTAGGATAAATATGTAAATCGAAAACTGATAAACACATTGGTACAAGGCAGAGTTCTAAACCATCGCCTGCAGATTGAAAGTCAAGTGCTCAACCTCTAAGCCACCGAGAATCCCTAGCCACATTATCATCAAGAATCATTTATCTTCAGATGGCTAAGAACAACCCTAGGATTAGAAATATTAAGGTGTTTTTCCGATCAAAGGCAATTTCGTAACTTATTTAGTAATTTGGCACTATGAAAATTACCGATTGGTATTTTTTCACAAGAAACTTTATTGCTTGTTAAAAGCCAATTATTCGAGAACAATATATTGATAAACAAGTTTGTAGTTTAAAAGTTAATTGCAATAGTTTTCTTACTTGGCTGTGTAACTTGTAAACGCAATGCTGCGAGTATGTATTGTTGTTTTAGTTATATTCTTTCAAGTAAGTATTTTTGTAACCAAAAGTTATTTTACTATAAATATTCAATATTATTAATGCAATATATATTTATTTATTTCAGATATACAAAGTTACAGCTGGAATATCCCCTATACACGACTTCAAAAATAAATTAAACAGCAAAATTGTTAGCGAACGCTATTTGTTAAAAACACCTCAAACTGGCATCAAGCATTTCGATAATTCCATACTTAAGGCGACAAAAAATGTGACACAAAATCCCCAAATGGAAGAGAATCTTTATCAAATATCTAAAAATTTGGTTTCTGCCGTCCTTACGAAATTGGAGATTCAAGATAAAATTACTCGAATCACCAGAGAAGCTCTCGACGCGCCTGGTAAGAATAAAGGCATAACAGCTATTGAAACGAGACGGATTTTAGATTACATATCTAGAACCTTATCCAGTCACATTTTAAGTATAACAAGAGCATCGACAGAACCCGAACTACATCGATTAGTGTATGGATTGGCTCAAATCGCAGCCGAAGTGTCAATTGTGTCTGCTTTAAAAGATATCACGTATGCAAAAGCCTTGTCGAAGAAGCAATCCGTTGATTTATCACTTAGGAAAAAGAGGGCAATCCCACTTGAAGATAAAACAACTCCAATTCCTCAATCTTCATCTACTTTGTTTAGTATACTTCTAAACAAACCCTTACCCTCACCAGAAATAGTGAATACAACATCGCCAGGAAAAGATAATAAATTATATATGTCCAACGCACCGTACTCGGTTATATCTAGCCATGATAAATTGCCATTCCGTGTTTTATCCTTAACTGACAGCGACACTTTGCCAGTAAAAGGATTTTTGAATAAAACTGTATTAGACAAAGAAAACAGCGAACGAATTAACAACGAGTCGGAGGCTATTGTTATAGAAAAAGCTATCAATGGAACACACTATGTATCTGCCGATAGTCAAACAATTAGTAAACAAGAAGCGACTGCTGGTGAACTGATAGACGACTGGGTGGATCCAAAGGATCATATTTATGCTCTTAATCCTGACATAGTTGCTGAAATGGAATTAGATCAGCCAGAAATAGACGATGAAAGTGTAAACGAAAAGAGAGAGAAACAAAAATTAGAAAGGTTGGAACTTAAAGCGAAAAAAGCAATTCTTTACGCTGGTGATGTTGCATATCTAACTGCAGCTAGTGTGGTAGCTATGCGCCGTGCATTAACTGCATCCATTGAAGTTAACATGTCCGTGAAATTTGCTAAAAACGGTATGTCAAATCATCAGGATTTAATGATGAATTTAGCGAAAACAGCAGCTCAGCAAGCTGGCAAAGAAGCGAAAAGTGCAACTTCGAAATCGCTCGCATGTGAACGCGTTATTAAATTAGCTGTTAAATATACAGCACAGTCACAAGGTGCAAAATTAAATCATGTAGCGAATAGAATAATAATGGATACGTTGTCATTAGCAACACTCGCTAAATCAATGGCCTTCGTATCTTCAGATATTGCGATTAATTCACTGTATCAAGCAACTGATATAAAACCTCCATCTTAATTAAATGTATAACTTCAGTTTGTATTGATGTAGTAAAAAATTGAAATACAATCTTACTTCTTACTAATAATACGAATGTTTAGATGTATGGATAGATGTTTTTTTCAAGGTAACCAGAACGGCTGCATGGTCTCGCTGTAATTTTGCACAGATGTAGAATAAAGCCTGAAAGAAAATACAGGCTACCAATAAAGTTTTAATTCCGCATGGACGGAGTCATGGGCGACAGCTAGTAAATAATATTTCTATTCCAATGGTGTAGTAAACTTTTGACATGGTCTAATGCCATATGTTTCAGTTTTATTATTTATGAATAGCTTTTCATGTCTATAGATTTATGTACAATATATTGTCTATAGGAAAATGATAACTACAAACCATAGTTATTGCATTATTTTATTCGTCAAACGTAAGTCACAAAGTTATAAAAGGCCAGGATCTGGATTTCGCGACTTTAGCGGTACAAGGTGTAGTAGGGCGAGTAGTAAGCATCGGTATTGTAATACTGGTAACTGAAATAAAAACAATGCCTATTTAAATTTCACTTTGACTTCGCATACAAACACAAATATTCATAACACCTATTCAATATTAGTCCAACTAATATATATATTATTTATGTGTGTGAGACAGAGAGAATAACCAACATTAAACTAATTACGTAACCCTTCAAAACAAATATAAATGCCATCTCTGTTTTTAACAACGAAAATAATAGGGATGGCAATATTTTGATGCAAGTGTTACGACAGTCAGTACTTACCCTGGATTGTAAACTCTCGTGTATGTATAAGGATACAGGTACCCGGGGCTATACCATAGACTAGAGTCAGTTTTCAAATCAGACGTGTCCTTGGGTACATTTTTATCTTCTGAAGTCGGTACCCGCTTAAGTGCGTACTCCGGGATAGCGTGCGCGTTCACAGTAAGTTCCCGCTCATATGGTACAGCAGTGCTGACTGCTATTACAGTCAGTACAACAATCAAAGTCAATTTCTGAAAAAAAAGAACATAACTAGTTGAAACAGGACAGAGTAAGGGGATAATTTGATTAGGAAATATTAAAACAAACAATTATTGTTAAAAAAATTATGTGTGACTTTAAAATAAGAAATTATTTCAGAATATTTAACTTACCAGCATTTTGCAATGATGCAACTGATCAGAGACGTAACATAAAATTATTGTAACTTAATATTTTAAGATCGCGAATTTATAGTGCAAAATTTAGTAGAAAAAATTGTGGTCTCTTTTTTATGTCTGCATTTTATTGATAAAAATCATTAAATATGTCGTTTACTAATAAGTCTGATGCACTTTATTTATTATTTTGTGTCATAGTTTTAGGGGTACGTATAATTAAAAAAATTTGCCCGTATGATCAAAACTGAACATTTATTTATTAGTATCCCTGTTTCTTTTTATCCGATAGAGTAAAAGACTTTCAAGAGATTTTAAAGTTCTTTTGTTATTTTGAATTGGTATTATTAATATAATTTTAAATTATTTTGTGTTTTAGATATTTTAAAAATATAGATAACGTAAGGAACCCTGCGTAATTTTTATTATTTTATTTTATTATTAGAAAATAGTCTTCAACAAAAATTTGATTAAATTGATTTAATAATCAATTTTCTAATTATTATTTTATGAATTATTTAGGCTATAAATCTTATAAATTATTATTTTATAATATTGATGAATTATTTGTCAAGTTTTTTATCGATATAATTTAATTATCAATTAATAGCTATGCCATCACAATGGTTCAGCTCGGATAAGAAACAATGCTTGGAGATGAAGGTTCTGTATATCTTTCTTATTAATATTATAAATGCCAATGTTTAGATGGATGGATGGATGTTTATTTGAAGGTATCACCGGAACGGCTCAACGGATATCGCTGAAATTTGGCATAGATTTAGAACATAGTCTGGTAGAACTCATAGGCTACTTAATTAAGTTTTTTTTTTAAATCGTCGCGGGTGACAGCCAGTGTTATAATAAGTTCGATATTGCAAACGGCGTCGGACAGATTTTGGACAAGCTACCTATTAGCGACATTTTCTAGTATAATATAGACCATTAATCCAGGGAAGACTTGGCAGGGTATATGATATATACATCCCTGCCCATAACCGCGATCCCTCCTGATGTTAAGTGATGATGTGGTGATGTGTTTTTCGCTAGGTAAGTAAATTCCTATTCACTTTACTCTTGACGGTTCCCAAATCATACTTGGATGGTAAAACTGACGTTGGCAATTTGCAGCTTTGCAGTACAGATCGCGAAATATGAAATAGATAATTTACTAGATAGATATCCTATATAATGGACAATACTGAGCACAAAGACTCAAATAATTCGGAAATTTATTAAAAAGTCCGTAAGCTATAAAACACGTGATCGATTGGTCCCTACTTTATTTTGATTTGTTTTTAATTTATAGAGCGGTGTAGTTTTTTTTAATTTTATATATTTATGTTTTCTTAATCTAGTTTTTGGTGTCAATAAATTGTATTTTAACGATTATTGAAGCAGTAAATGTCAGAACTTCGTTGGAAAATTAGCTTGGAAATTTAATTTTTGACAATCTTTCCGTAATTGATTGATAAAATTGAAATTAAATAAAAGGTCAAGAATGATATATAATTTTACATTTGGTAAACGAAATGTGTTAATATTATCTTGTATTATTTTTATTTTTGTAGGTTCTGAGAAGTTATTCACACTCGATTACTTTTTCGAATTTTAGCACGTATTTTAACAATACTTTGTGACAAGGTTTTAGATCTTTGTGAACATTATTGCATAGAATAACGATCGTCATATTATCTTCTGTTGAAACAAATTTAATTGACTACTGCTGCCATCTAGTGTAGCTTCTACACATTAATAGCATTTCGTGTTCTTTGTACAAACCTGAATGAAACGTTCAGAGACATAGAGGGCACTTTTTCAATATTCTATTATTTACTTATGTTTTTGTTAAATATCAATATCCTGTTTCTATAATATAGTATTAAATGTATCGGTTTTATTTAAATGAATGTTTTCATGATATTACGTTATCAAGTGGATTATACAGTGATACATGAACCGTAGAATTCAAAATACTCGTTTTGGTGAGGTAAATTTGCAAAATATTTGCACGGGTCACTTAACTTGGCTAAATATAAGGCCAAGTGGTAGTGATAACTGATATGGAATAATTTGTGGTAGAAATTTGAATATAATAGCAATGTGGTCTACAATGAAATGAGCACGTAATCAGCTCTCACGTAGTGTTATGCAAGCATATGGAATTGTATTTTAATTATTAAGCGCAACTCATGATGACTTTCGTCACAAGGATGAGAACAAGGACGGCAACGAAGCAACTGCAAAAGCAAAATATTAGTGTTGCAAAATGTTACCAACCTATTTTAAGTTTTCAGTTTTTTTTTAGTCCCAAGATTGTAGTGTATAGTCTATTACTTGTATTTTTTAAATTAAACACTAGAAATTATTTATTACTTTTAGCATACATTAACAAAATTAAATAAATATCCTACAAAAATTTAATAAAGTGAAATGAAAACAAGTATTTATATTCTTCTACGATTAATGCTTTTGAACTGGTAACCCTAAAGCACCTAGACAAGGAGTCACGTTCATATTCACGAGATCTATGATAATAAAAAATAACAATTAAAGTAATAATACACAAATAACAAAAAAGAAACCAATTGCGCGGTGCTATTGTGTGCTAAACAAAGGAGTAAGGTGTCTTTTGAAACAAACGCCTTTGTAAATCTACACTAATGAAAGATTTAGAGCACCGTTTTTTCATTGTTTAATTTATGTAAATGCATATAAGTACCTGTTTTTAACTTAAATCTCCTAGCTAAAGCCATTATACAACAAAAAGATATAAACTTCAATGAAATAACACCAACAAGGCTATAAGAACCGTTGGGCATAAGTCAAACTAATTAATTACAGCTCACTAGCGCCCTCAACCAACTTTTAAAATGTGACACGATTCTTTTTGTACCGTAGCTGTCTATTTTTTTTTATTAACTCTTATGGTTATTACAAAGTACATATATAAAGACTTGACTAAAACTAATACATAAGCAAGAGCGGCCTTATCGCTATAAGCGATCTAGCTGTCATGTCATTTTCTATGTCTAAATAGGTTTTACGAATATTCTGACAGAACCAAAAACCAACCGTTATAGCAGCGCCTCTCTCACCGGTCAGATATCCTTGTATAGTCAATAGGTACTTTTTATTACGTCAATGTAAAATAATTTCTTCATTTATTTTATGGTCGTCATTATAACTGGTCTGGCCAGTTTATTCACGAGGCTGCCAAAATTATTCAAATCATAATTATTTCCTTAGTTTACTTCCAATGTAACCATACTGTTTAACTTTAGCAGGATGCAGGGAAAAGTTAATCTAGATTTTAAGTCATTGATTTAAGACTAATTTTCAAATTATACAATTAGAAAATAATAAATAAATCCGTTAAAAAAACACTTACTAATAAAAAAATAATGGTTTTACATTGAACAGTATTTATTACTCGTTATTAATAGCAATTTCAGAGTAAATTGACCACATTATAAAAATATAAATAAAATCTAACCACTTAAAAATAAGTGTCGCAATAAATCGTTGAAATTACTTTTGTTTTAACATGTAAAATCAATATAAGTATAACAGCTTACATTTTTTATCGAATGTATGTAATTTATAAACTATTGTACTCTTATCACGTATAGACATGAATTTATAAATAATTGTACCTCTTTTTATGTTCATACCTTTCATGAACATAGTAATGAAAGAGAAATATTTAATACGTACTTTTATATTAAATATAAATCTTATTTGGGATCTTATCGATTACGTCTGCGTATTTTTTTATGTATTTCTTAATGATTAGTAACAATGGTGAATAATATTAGAAGAGTTGTAAGTTTTTTAAATCGATTAGTAATTAATTTAGATGCATCACCTTTTGCAATCAATACTTTTATCTCATCGCGAGACTTGATATAAATCATTCAGCAGCGTTTGAAGGGACATCTATCGTTTTTCTTCCAAATAGAGTGAAAAGGAGGGATAGTAGTAAGTAACGTTACTCTGACGATCACGGGATCTTGTAGTAAAATGGATGTGAAAGTCCACGTATATAGCGGATTCCTAAAATATCTCGGAACTACGCAACGTCGACGCATGGCATTGAGACATGCACCCACTTTTACTTACATATTTATTTTGTAGGAATTATAAATACGCGCGCGATTGGCTTGAGTTAGTCTCATTTTTATTTTTCAATCTTGAGAATGTGACCAGCGAACTCTCTACCAACTGAAATCTCATAAATTTCCATATTTTAATTTAAGTACTTTTCTTTTCGGCAAGAGTTATTCTCACATAAATCTTAATCAGAACATGCAGTGTTATCTGACCAGTTTAAATGCAAGACGCATACAAAATGAATTCGTGGAGAAGTTTTCTCTCTGTACATCCTCTCCTCCGTCGATTAAAGGTAGGCAACGCATATGCAATTGCGTATGTCTATGGGCAACGGTCACTTCGCTATTTTAGCGATTTCAGATGGCCACTCGCTCGTTTGCCACCTTATGATACAAAAAAAACGTTTTTAGTGTACCTTATACCTATAAGTAGTTGAGACTATATTGAAAAAAGTACTTAACAATTTAACATACCTATTTTCTTTCTGACAAATTATATTCCTGTGCATTTATTTAAACGCTTGAGCGTCAAATGATATGTATCTGGGGAATGCCTAACAAGTAACATTACATTGTAATGAGGTCAATGCACCTGCTAGACCTTTCGCCGTTACCTTTGGTTTCCACGGCCGAAAAAAAATATATATTATAAAATATAGTTGTCTCTTTTCTTTCAAAGGCAATGAAAGGGATGCGAATTATTTTTGTAAGATTCATTTGGGGGGATTGTTTGATTTCACAGTGGAAACTTATTGTATATGTCAAACAAACTGAGAAGTTCTAACTCTATTAGTTTCCTACAAAAGTTTGAATTAATTAGATAGCTAAATAGAACGTTAAAAGGTATAACATTTTAACATAACCTTAAAAAAATAGTTCGTTTCATATGTATATTTCCTGTTTGCGATTTAAATTGCGCTTTAATTAATTATTTTACGTTCTTACGCCAACAACACAGTAAATATGATAATGCGCGTATTTTGTTAAGGACATGG